ATGTCATCGGCTGGTGTTGGTCCACTGTGTTTTCTGAGGTCTAAGGTCAACGCAGTCGTCTACCAGGAAGTTTTAAAGCACTTCATGCTTCCTGCTGCTGACCAACTTTATGGAGATGGAAAATCTATGGGGTATTGTGAAGAGGAAGATGTGATACACCAGACCCAACAACTCAGAAGAGCTGAAGGCCACTGTCAGAGCAACCTGGGCTCTCAGAACACCTGAGCAGTGCCACAGACTGATCCACTCCACGTCACGCTGCATTGCTGCAGTGATTAAAGGAGCTCCAAGTACTGATGCTGTACATGCTCATACTATTCATGTTCATACTTTTTAGTTGGTCAACTTTTCTAAAAATCTTTTTTTTTTATTGGTCTTAAGTAATATTCTAATTTTCTGAGATGCTGAATTTGGGGTTTTCATTAGTTGTCAGTTATAATCATCAACATTAAAATAAATAAACATTTGAAATATATCCGTCTGTGTAATGAATGAATATAATATACAAGTTTCACTTTTTGAATGGAATTACTGAAATAAATCAACTTTTTCATGATATTCTAATTTTATGACCAGCACCTGTATGTAAATGGCAAAGTTTTTAGCTTTTGCTAATTTTAGAAGCTCTTTTGCTCAGACTGTTTTATCTTTAACAATTCAGTTTTAATTTCTGCAACAAATTTCAGCAAAGTCATCCAGCACTCAGCGTTCTGTCTCTAGCTTTTGTTTGCCATTTAGTTTCACCATCATCTCTTAGCTCTCTCCTGAGATTGTGAGCAGAGGCTTTCAGTCTTCATCATCAGACAGCAGCAGTTTCATCAGTAAACTCAAACACTGCTTTTAAAATAACTTGATCATCTGTAAACTAGTGCCTATTTTAGTAGGTTTAAAAGCATTTTAAAAAGCATGTTATTGAACATCAGATTAAAGTATTTGTCTTTTCCACAGGTACAATAGATGACCACACTCTTCTGTGGCTCCTGAACCAGATTCGTGTTGGAATCCCACAAATCAGTATCCAAGTTCGGCAGCATAAACACACCCAGGCGTATGCCTTCTTCATCACATCAACATTCGAGAAGTAAGACAAACTTCGAATTGGTTTTTATTGCCTTGATTGACGAGGACTCATTTTCAACACTTTTTTTTTTTTTGCTATTAAAATCTCATTTTGTGACTTTTGCCACAAATTGAAAGCATTTGTATTTGTTTACAAGCATGTTATAATATAGACTAGGAATGTACGATATGGCATAAAATTCATATCACGATATGTTTTGTGAAGGGTGGCGATAACGATATATATCGCGATATGTTTTGGATATAAAACTTGATAGGAATTTTTCAAAAAGCATTTGGTGTCCTTTTGCCATCATATATTTTGAATTAAGAAAATTCCACTACTAGGTCCAGAGTTTTTAAATAATAAACAAATCAAGTATTAGGCTTCTTGCTTGTAGTGCAAAACAGTGCAAAATATATAAAATGTAGTTTTAGCCATATGTTTTAAACAAAAGAATATGTTGTTAACAGTTTCCAGTCTTACTTAAGAAATGAACAGCAACAGAGCAGCATTTTACATGAAAGACTTCACCCTCCAAACCTCTATTTGGCGTCTCCTTCAGCTTTAATGGAGAGCTGACACAAAATGAATCTGTGGCTTTGACCAGAGGTTCTCACAGTAAAATCATACAACACAGCGTTCTTTTCACACATCAGAGAGCAGGTATCTCTAAAGCTGACCAACGCTTACTTTAACTTTCGATGGGAAAAAAAACAACAACACTTTCGACGGAACGCGACGTTTTGCGCATGCGTCAGAATACGGCAACACTACGGCAAGCCGGCTGTAGTTAGTTTGTAGCTTCGCTACTTAGCCCTCGAAGAAAAGACTTTAACGCCACTTGCGCACAGTTTTCAGCTAAAAAAAAGTAACGATTAAATCTGACAGCTCTGATTTTACACTTGAACACCACTTATGTACAGTTTTCAACAAACAAAAGTAATGATTAAACTGACAACTCTGATTTTACTAAAGGCACAGCATTACTGCGGTTAGTCGGTAGAAGACAGATCTCTATCGTAGGCTAAATGTCTATCGTTTCTACCGTATACCGTTTATATCGCGTATTCCTAGTATAGACCTGTTTAAGCATTAAGAGATATCCTGATTTCCTTACTAAGAAAATAATTTCTGTATTTTTACAATGAAGGCTTAGGATCAGTCTTTTTATTTTTTAAATACTTTAGCAACAGATTGAAAAATTAACATGGTTATCTGTGACTGGGCTGCAGAGGTCACAGGTCCAGAAGGGCGACCCATTAATCCCTCTCCCCAGAGACACTCTAGCTAAATGGTCTTCAATAGAAATTCTGTGAGTTTGCACTGTGAGGAGCTTTTGTGTCTTGTCAGTGGTTTCTTTCTGCTCCTTTGGTCAGGCTCTGTGTTGATAGCTTGGACTACAGGTCCTTCTCAAAAAATTAGCATATTGTGATAAAGGTCATTATTTTCCATAATGTAATGATAAAAATGAAACTTTCATATATTTCAGATTCATTGCACACCAACTGAAATATTTCAGGTCTTTAATTGTTTTAATACTGATGATTATGGCATACAGCTCATGAAAACCCAAAATGCCTGTCCCCAAAAAATAGCATATCATGAAAAAGTTCTCTAAACAAGCTATTAACCTAAAAATCGATTATTAAAAGTGTTGGTAATGAATTTCATTATCGATTTGTTGCGTCATGCGATTAATCGTCTCTCACGGCGCTGCCGAGCCGTTTTGTTCACCTGCAGTGCATTGTCAATGTTGACTGACTGAATAAAGTAAAAAAAGAAGAAAAAAAACTGCAGCACGAGTTGAACAGAGCGAGGGGGAAGGAGGAAGCAGAACAGTGTGTTTTTAAAGGAAATTAAGTCAATTTTACAAATGACCAACACAGAGAAAACTGTTCAACCCAAGTTCTCCAAATTGTGGGAGCACTTCACAAAGATAAAAACTGAGAAACATGCAGCTTTGAAAAGTGACGACATGACACAGGAGAACCATGCTGATGAAACGTAAACATGTCGGTGTCATCGATGTGGATGAAGGATCAGCAGCAGATACAACATGTTTCACTCCCAACTCGTGTTGGCAGGTGAGTCTCTATATAAAATATACCACATCTGATCTGTTTCCTAGTGAGAAAACATAACATCAGTCTCTCTGGTAGCTGAAGCTGCTGCTTGTTTGTTATCTGATTGACGGTGATAGAGAACGTGTGTGTTACTTTTTATTTTATTTAATTGGTATAAGCAGTGTTTAAATGTGATTTATAAATAAATCTAACACAAAGATAATAAATGGAAAAATAAATGGACTTAATGTTCCCTTGCCCGGACGTGGGTCACCGGGACCCCACTCTGGAGCCAGGCCTGGAGGTGGGGTACGCAGGCGAGCGCCTGGTGGCCGGGCTTTTACCCATGGAGCTCGGCCGGGCACAGCCCGAAGAGGAGACGTGGGTCCCCCTTCCCATGGGTTCACCACCTGTGGGAGGGGCCAAAGGGGTTGGGTGCAATGTGGGATGGGTGGTGGCCGAGGTCGGGGACCCTGGCGGTCTGATCCTCGGCTACAGAAGCTGGCTATTGGGACGTGGAATGTCACCTCACTGGTGGGGAAGGAGCCTGAGCTGGTGTGTGAAGCTGAGAGGTTCCGGCTAGAAATAGTCGGACTCACCTCTACGCATGGCTCTGGCTCTGGAACCAGTTTCCTTGAGAGGGGCTGGACACTCATCCACTCTGGAGTTGCCCCTGGTGAGAGGTGCCGAGCAGGAGTGGGCATATGTCCCCCACCATTGGAGCCAACTCACCACCAGGTAGTGATCAGTGGACAGCTCCGCCCCTCTCTTCACCCGAGTGTCCAAGACATGTGGCCGCAGATCAGATGAGACGATGACAACTTGGTGCCTGTGTGTTGGGGTTCACCCCGGTGAATGAGAGGGTGGCCTCCCTCTGCCTATGTGTGGGGGGACGGGTTCTGACTGTCGTTTGTGCTTATGTACCAAATGGCAGTTAAGATTATCCACCCTTTTTGGAGTCCTTGGAGGGGATACTGGAAAGTGCACCTCCTGGAGACTCCCTTGTTATGCTGGGGGACTTCAATGCTCATGTGGGCAATGACAGTGAGACCTGGAGGAGTGTGGTTGGGAGGAACGGCCCCCCTGATTGTAACCCGAGTGGTGTTCTATTGTTGGACTTCTGTGCTCGTCATGGATTGTCAATAACAAACACCTTGTTCAAGCATAAGGGTGTCCATATGTGCTCTTGGCACCAGGAAACCTTAGGCCGCAGTTCGATGATCAACTTTGTCATCGTCTCATCTGATCTGCGGCCACATGTCTTGGACACTCGGGTGAAGAGAGGGGCGGAGCTGTCCACTGATCACTACCTGGTGGTGAGTTGGCTCCGATGGTGGGGGAGGATGCCGTTCAGACCTGGCAGATCCAAACGTATTGTGAGGGTTTGCTGGGAACGTCTGGCAGAGTCTCATGTGAGACGGAATTTTTTTTTTTTTTTTTTTTTTTTTTTTTTGATGGCCTCCCTTCTCCCCTTACAGCCATCCTCTCCACACCATTATTATGAAATATTTATTATAGTGACATTCTAGTGTAGGTTTTTTTTTTTTTTTTTTAATAGGATAGAAAGAAAGAAAAGACAAAGTAAGACTCCAAAATATAAGAAATATATACAAATAGAGCACACTTCAAAACACCCGGCCACTGTCTGTTCACCTGCAAAGAACATGACAAAACACAGCAACAAAATACATATGTATAAAGAACTTAAAATATTCATGGCTTTGCAGTAAGTTTCAATAAATATATATACCCATACCTACGCCTATATACATACATACATACATACATACATACATACACATGAATATACACTCACATACATATCTATATATCTACATATAAAGCCTACATAAACATCCCTGCTTCTATTTGTGTGTGGTTGTGAGCATGCATAAGTGTATAAGGCTTCTCTAATAGAACATTTATTAGTAATTGTGAAGCAGCAGAGACCCGACCCCCAAGACCAGAGGCAGACGAAAAAGGGGGGACCAGAGCCCAAGACCCCAGGAGGGACCCCGACCGCGGAGCCCCCAGAGCCACCCACACAGGGCGAACCACCCACCCACCCCCCAGAAGGGACCACAGGGGAGAACCGGAAGATCCCCACCAGCAACCACATACAGTGACCCCCCGGGGCCAACAGCGACAAACTCATAGGCCTCCGTCGGCACCCGCCACACCGATGTAGGTCCAGGTCCAGGCACCGAGGCCCGGGCACCGAGGACTCACACCACCCAGGCCAAGGCCTGACAGGGCCAGAGGACCCGAGCCCCACCAGGCAGACACCAGGCCGAGCCGACACACGCCCAAGCGCCCAGCCCCCGATACCAAGGGCCCCAAGCGCGCCGGCAGGCAAGGGCACACCCCACCAGGGGGCCGCGCGATAGGGGCGCGATGCCAAGCACCCCCAGTTGTATCAAAGAGGGGGCAGTCCGAGTCTCGGCCTAACAAATACCCATTCATACACATACACAATCACACTATCCCAACCTCAATCTCAATGGACAGAATTTCTAGGCGCAGCCAAGGTGTTGAGGGGATTTGTTTTGGTGGCCTTAGGATTGCATCTCTGCTTTTTGCAGATGATGTGGTCTTATTGGCTTCATCAGATCGTGATCTACAGCTTCCGCTGGAGCGGTTCGCAGCCAAATGCGACGCGGCCGGGATGAAGATCAGTTCCTCGAAATCCGAGGCCATGGTCTTGAGCCGGAAAAGGGTAGAGTGCCCTCTCTGGGTCAGGGAGGAGGTCCTACCCCAAGTGGAGGAGTTCAAGTATCTTGGGGTCTTGTTCATGAATGAGGGAAAAATGGAGCCCGAGACCGATAGGCGGATAGGTGCAGTGTCTGCAGTGAAGTGGGCGCTGTACAGGTCTGTCATGGTGAAGAGAGAGCTGTGTCAAAAGGCAAAGCTCTCAATTTACCGATAGATCTACGTTCCTACCCTCATCTATGGTCATGAGCTTTGGGTTGTGACCGAAAGAATGAGATCTCGGATACAAGCGGCCGAAATGAGTGTTCTCCGCAGGGTGTCTGGGCTCTCCCTTAGAGATAGGGTGAGAAGCTCGATCATCCGGAAGGGACTCAGAGTAGAGCCGCTGCTTCTCCACGTCGAGAGGAGCCAGTTGAGTTGGCTTGGGCATCTGTTTAGGATGCCTCCTGGACTCCTCCCTGGTGAGGTGTTCTGGACACGTCCCACTGGAAGGAGGCCCAGAGGAAGACCTAGGATATGCTGGAGGGACTATGTTTCTAGGCTGGCCTGGGAACGCCTCGGGATTCCCCCAGAAGAGCTGACCCTAGTGGCTGGGGAGAGGGAAGTCTGGGCCTCCCTACTTAGGCTGCTACCCCCGCGACCCGACCCCGGATAAGCGGAAGAAAATGGATGGATGGACAAAGATAATAATTTAATGATTAAGCTTCAACTTTTCATTTGCTGGCAAAGTCTGAAGACACTGCAGGTATGGCAGGATGAATTGCATTTAAACAGGAATTAAAGTAATTTATTACATCTACTCAAATGTGCGCATATTAAGTATTATATATATATATATATATGTGTGTGTGTGTGTTTGTGTGTGTTTAATTATTCTTTGAGCTACTTTTGCCTTAACCTAACATTGTAAGTGAAACAAGGCATTTCTTGAGTTGCTGTAAATTATGATATAATACATATTTACTCTCTCATTCCAGAAAACAACAACAATGACAGCCTTCATGATGGACAGACATCATGGACACCACAGCAGCTGCTGTCTTCACTGAAAACATCCTTAAATGAGCATCACTGACATGAGGCCTCTGTCGATGGTTGAAGATGAAGGTTTCACTACAATGATCCACACTTTTAATCCAGGTTACAATAATCCACACTTTAAATCCAGGTTACACTCTTCCCTCAAGGACACATTTTACAAATTGTGCAGGTATAAAGTATACTCTTGTATATATTTTTGGCTACATTTATTTTTTATTGAAGCTATTTGACAAACTTATTTTTTATTATTCAATATTTTTACTGACAGAATAGTCAAGTAGCAACCTGTTTTTTGTGCGATTTTCTGTCAGTCAAACTTTGGAATAAAGAGGTGGAAATGAAAACATATGTTTGTTTTTTGTCGATTCATCAATTAATCGGGGGGGGGATCGGTCGATTAATCGATTGTTGAACTAGTCATTAGTTGCAGTCCTAAGCTAGAGCTTGGCTCCCCTGGTGTTGGTACTTATTCCCTTATGTGCCTCGTTCAGATATTGACTCGTGCCTATTCAACTATGCCACTATGATGCCTTATAGGAGCTTCCATTGTTGTACAGAGACAAGTAATTGGCCAATAGCTGGATGGAATTGCCTCTCTCTGCATGTCTCATGATAAGGACTGTCCAGCTTTTGGTCAACTAATCCGGGTGGGTCTCTTCTATTAGTTTAACAGTTTTCTTGTCCAGCTACACCACATGTATTACACCAAAAATGGCTAAATCATGTCATCTGGATCTGTTTCTACAGGTCCAGATGACATGATTTAGCCATTTTTGTTGTCTACCTGGATGTTTGAGTTTACAAGGATTGGTGCATCTCTAGTACAAATAAGGATTCTTCATAAAATGAAGAACATTATAGACAACCTCAGCATCCTCTTCATCAGACTGTCATACAACAACAGAGTGTCTTCAGTCAGAGGCTTCTTCAGATCTGCTGTAGGACAGACGCTACAAGAGATCCTTCCTGCCCACAGCCATCAGCATCTAGAACAACTCTTTACTGAACCAGGATGATGAGTTACAACAACATTTATTTACATCTGGGATTAATAAAGTATTTTTGAATTTGAATTGAATTGAATTAATAAAAAAATAACAGCTTGAGGTTTTACTGTAGTATTTTGGAGGACAAAGTATAACCTGCTGAGAACAAAATGGCAACCAGTAAATATGAAGTGTTTTGGGGTTTTTTACGTGGTGGATGACTTCAGCAGCACCTGAGCAGAACTGTTGGCTAACACAAACCACTGTAACTTGCTGTGTTGTTTTTCTCAATGTGTAAAGAAGTTGGACTCAAACGTGCTTATGAGCCTACAATGATCTCTAGACCTTTCAGGCAGGAAAAGGCCATTAACCAAAGCTAAAGTTAGAAAAATTAAAAAAACTGTGGAAATTAGTGCAAACAGTGTTCTTGACCTGATTCTTGTTACAATTATTGTACAAGTTTATCCAAAAATGTGTTGAAAATAACAAAAACTAATTTTCCTGTGTTAAAAGGCTGCTGTTTAATTCCCCCCCCCCCCCCCCCGGCTCTCCCTCAGTTTACTGCGAGGAGCGGAGCAGACGGGCATGCACAAGGCTGTGAAACCACAGTTTGGTGGTGGGATGCGCCGCTTCTCCTGCGAGGAGGACAACATCTATGAGAACATAGAGAGCAAGCTCTGCTTTTTTACCTCGCAGGTCAGAAGTGAAATGTGTGAACCTTGTTGTGCTGCACACCAGTTGTTGGTGTCATGATGAGTATTTGTTAAAAAGTACTCTCAATCTCTGGCGTTATTTTTCACCCATCTGTCTTGTTATGTGTAGGAACGTCAAAGCATTGTAAAGTACTGGCTGGACAACCTGCGTGCCAAACAAGGGGAGGTGCTTCACAACATCTACTTTCTGGAGGGGCAGCCAATCAGTAAGTTGTTTATTTCCAACATTTTTATTCTCATTAAGACCGACACATTATGGTTTATTCTCTGTCCACACGTCAAAACTTTCTTTTGTCCGGGCCACAACATCCAATATATCAAGATAATTTAATGAAACTTGATACTCTTATGCATCATCACTGGATGTTAAAAGTGTTGTATACTCTTTTCAAGGTCAAGGTCACAACTCAAGGTCAAAGGTTATACAAGGCCTTTGCATCTCTGGACCATTGCTATAGATCCCTGTAATGCTGTACAATAGTTTGTTGACAGGCTTATAACATGCCATATGCAGTACTCTTGTTTATGTTTTTCTACATCTTTTATTTCTTTCTTTGTTACGTTGCTGAAAATTCTCAGTCATTCAGAACATGGCAGTCCTAGGTGGTTAAATACAAGTTAACCGGACCTTTTCTCTTGTTTCCTAAAGATGTGTGATCTTTCACCCAAAAGGTTTCTTCTGTTTCCATCATGGATTGCAAGCTAATTAGGTGGAGCAACACATCCAGGTACTTAGTAAGGTTGAGCTAGAGTCATAGAGTTACAAATGCATACTTCAGAAATTGGAGTCCAATGCACACCCTCTCCTCCTTATTGAACACAAACTTAGATGTTTTGAAGCAGCTTGACATGAGTTTTTGATGAGGGAGAAGGCCGGCAACGGAGGAAAGGGCATGCCCCAGAGACGATCTTAGCACCAACATAACTGTTTTTTCCACTTTGGAGTAAGCTGTTGGGAGAGAATCAATTTTGTTTGGTGTTTCCTCAGACTGATGAAGCCTTCTGGATGGAAGGTGAAATGTTTCAGCACAAAAAAAAAAACGTCCAGATGACCTGACTGAAAACTGTTTGAGCCCTGGAAAGCTTGTGGTCTTTGAGCACCCTCTAGTGCCCCTCAAAGTACTGCCAGCAACATGGGCGCTTTCAATCTGAATAAGAACTTTATTGATCATGCAGGAAATTGTCAGAGTTTCAGTACAAAGGAATATACACATGGAATCACACAAGATATAAAAAATAACAGAGAATATAAAAATACCAACAATTAAGATCTAAACAGGTGCAGACAGAAACATTAAAGAGTTTATTGTAGTACAGGATTAATTTTATTGTTCTATGTGTAAGAAGGGGAGGAGTTAAAAAGTTTGAAATGACTTCCTGTGTTGTTCTGTGGAGCACCTCGATGGTCTCAGTCTACGACTGAAGGTGCTGCAGTAAGAGTCCAGGGTGTCATGCAGGGGGTGTGACGTGACATTCAGGATCTGGAGCAGTTTCCTCAACATCCTCTGCTCAGACACGTCTGTCAGAGACTGCAGGTCCACTCCCAGAACTGAACCAGCTCTCTTGATGAGTTTATTGAGTCTGTTGGCATCAACTTTCTTCACCCTGCTGCTCCAGCACACCACAGCTAGAAGATGCTGGAGACCACCGAGTGGTAAAACATCTGCAGCATGGTCCTGCAGATGTTAAAGGACCTGAGTCTCCTCAGAAAAAAAAGGTGACTGTCCTTTCTTGTAGAGGATGTTGGTGTTAGCTGTCCAGTCCAGTTTATTTTCTAGGTGGACCCCAGGTATTTGTAGCAGTCCACAGTGTCCACCTTAGTTCCTTGATGCTGATAGGGTTGGGGGGGCTGGTCTTCTTCCTGTAGTCCACCTGCAGCTCTTAAGTTTGTCCAACACTGAGCTGCAGGTGGTTCTATCCACCACACCTCTGTATTCAGCTTCCTGGTCACCAGTGATACAGCCCACAATGGCAGAGTCATCAAGAACTTGTGCAAATGGTCGACCTGTGAGGTAGTCTCTGATCCAGGTGACCAGTGAGTCATTCACTGCAGCTACTGCAGAGTAGAGCTGGTCTTATGGTGTTAAAAGCACTGGAAAAGTCAAAGATCATGACTCTTACCATGTTGCCTGACCTGTCCAGGTGCGTGTAGACTCCTAGGAATAGAAATGTACAGTAGTCCCTCACTACTTCGTGGTTTGTTTATCGCGGACTCGCTCTATTGCAGTTTTTCAAAATAAGATTGGAAATGACACACATTTGGCATGGAAATTTAATTTAAATAAATTATTTTAAATTATATAGCACCTCCTACACCTCTGTGCTGCAGGATAAGCTTCCTCCTGCAGCTGATCATTTGATCTTCATGCCGAGCGGAGAAGTGGGCGTGGCCAAGAGTGCTTGCAGGTGGTGAGGCAGGGAGCTGAAATCATGACAATCTGTGCTCTTTCAGAGCGTTTAGTTTAGAAACATTGTTTAGAATATTGCAAGAGTGTGGGAAGGGTTTAAAACACCTTTATATATATATATATATATAATAAACTACTACTTACTACTTGTACTACTATTCCTACTTTGTATTTTTTCTTATCCCAGGGCTTCAGGGTACAGATCCCCCGCGTTAAACGAGGGACTACTTTATTTAAATTGGCTGTTTTGCAGTATTGTTGAGCTTCAGTTATATTAAAAGTAAAAAAATAAAAAATAAAAAAATAAAGAAATATATGCAAAAAAGCAAAAATAGAGCATCCTGAAACCATAATAAAATAATTGTTTCTCATGTGGTGTTGGTCAGCAGCAAAAATGTGAAAATGCAACGATGGGAAAAGACTAGTGCTGTAGCACCGTCTCTGCAGCTGCAGCACACTGTGGTATCCACAGAGTTCATTTGGCTCGTGTTCATAATTTTCTTTGGTCACGTAGTAATTGTCACTGATCTACCGCAGCTTTGCAAGAATTTAAAGCTCTAAATAAATACAACATGTTAACAAGCAGAAGACAGATGTTCAATAGGTTACACCACTAAACCAAACAAAACTATTTAAAAAATATTAAGTCTTTTATATTATATACAAATGTATATATTAAATATTTTATATTATATATAAATATATATATATATATATTAGGGATGCACAATATTATCGGCATGGTATTGGCCAATATTAGTGATAAAGTTAAATATCGGACATCGGCCATTCCATCAAAATAACTTACCGATATAAAAGGCTTCTGCTTTAAGTTAATTTTTAAACTATCAAGTATTAATGCACTACTACTAATGCACTTTTCACTTGTCACTTGTGAACAGGTTGAGTTTAGATTTGTGAAAATTTACAAATTTGCACAGTTCGAGTGTTGTCATTGTGTTAGAGAGTAAATGTCATGAAACATTAAACATAATCCAAGTTGAAGTGTTGCATCATTTTCAGTCTCTTTTTGACATCTGCATCTGGTAGCAGGTCAAACTGACAAAGACCATGCAGAATAATGCAGTATTTTAATTCCACAGCAGAGAAATCTATGTAGTCTGTGCAAGTAGGTCTAGGAAAAAAATATTGGTATTGGTATCGGTTATTGGCCAAATAAGTTTTAACATATTGGATATCGGCCAAAACTCCAATATTGTGCATTCCTAACAAATCTATCTATCTATCTATCTATCTATCTATCTATCTATCTATCTATCTATCTATCTATTCTGTCTGTCTGTCTGTCTGTCTGTCTGTCTGTCTGTCTGTCTGTCTGTCTGTCTGTCTGTCTGTCTGTCTGTCTGTCTGTCTGTCTGTCTGTCTGTCTGTCTGTCTGTCTG